GCAGGACATGTGCTTTTAATCGGTTTCATGGTTTCCCCGTGTTTCCGTGGTCTCGTCTTGGGGCGGGGGGGGGCGGCATCGCGGGAACGAAAGGGTAGGTAAGCATGACAAAAGGGAAACATATGGAACATGCTGCTTGGCACAACGCAAGACATGGGGGGAGAAACACTAGCTTCCCAGGAAGGATGAGGAAACAAAGAGACAAGTAGGAGGAGGCGAGGGAAGGATGATGAAGTGAAGAAAAGGAAAGAGAGAGAGAGAGAGAGGAAAAGGAGGAGAAGACGGAGGAGGAGGGGAAGGAGGATAAGATCAGGGGAGAGATAGTTGTTACCAGCCACAAGGGTTGGAGGAGGAGGCGGAGGAGGAGGAGGAGAGGAGAGAGAGAGAGAGAGAGAGAGAACAAAAAGGACAGAAACAGCAAATTAATTGCACGATGAGAAGAATCATAATACGAAGTAAGTTATGTAATCTCTGGGGGAGGGGACGACCATCTACACGTAGAATTATCGATTCACCACAACGATGCGAGTTTGAGTAATACTTGACGCAAGAAAAAAAAAGGGGAGCAAGGATCAAGCTGGCCAGCTCGAGCGGGTCCGCGGGCCCCGCTCGTTCCCACACCCCACGCGGCAAAATTTAAGGGAGGAGTGGCGAAGGCGAAGCGCTTCGCTGTGACGAAAGCTTCCTCGGAAACGCGATGATCCGAATCCACCGAAGGGTGAAAGTCGGGAAGACCTTGGGAATCTGAGACTGGCCAGGATAATCATTTTTGAAATTGAAAAAATCAATGGGATCATGACCGTCCTGGATTTCAAACTACATTATTATTAAGCGCTAGAACCCCAAATCCCTGATTATCACGCCGCTGGGGGAATCCCAGCAAGGCTCTTCCTGTTAGAATTCTGGGGGGGGGCAGGGGGTTTGATGCCCTTTTGGCACCACGTCCGTGGCCCCTCGAAGTCCCAGAGGAGCGTTCGTCGCGCCGCTGCATGCGCCGCGCCCGCCGTGGGCGTGCGGGCTTCGGGCGAGAATTCCGCGCAGCGCTCCGGCGAGAGCGGCCGAGCGGGGGCGCCGCGTCACGTTCAGGGGAAATCTGCGCGGCTCTGGGGCGGCAGCGACATGTCGCCTGCTCGCGCGCGACCCCGCTGCCCCCGAGCTCGCGGGCACAGAAAGGGGGCGCTGCGCCCCAAGCGGGAGCGCAGCTGCCAGAGACACGTGTGCTCCGTGCTGTGGCGAGAGCGGCACGTCGGTCTCTCGTGCACGATGTGCGGCGCGACCCGCTCTCGTCGCGCACGTTGCAGCGTCGGCACTAGACTGTCCACTGTTAAAGGAAAAACGTTGACTTCGGTTTTTCTTGAATGGTAAACGGGGGAGGGCCCGCTCAGAGTGGCCAGGCGACCGCTGGTAAGGGGAGCGGGAGCACGAGCCCACACGGGCCAAGAGTAGCAGCAGGAAGGAGGAGGAACGGAAGGAGGATTTGGTTGAGAGCGACGCGGGGGAGCAGCAGAAGAAGCAGCAGGAGCGGCAGGAGGGTGGGGGGGCCAGCAGTTCACCTTGATGACAGGGTCCAGAAATTGACAGTGCGTTCGAAAATCGCAGGTTCTGTCCGCATTCAGGCTCAGGTGTTGTTCGTTGGTTTAGGCTAGTGCTCACGCCCAGACAGAGGGCGTACACACGTGTGGGCTGGTGAACGGGCACCTGGGATAACAAAGATGGCAAGAACATGGAACGAGGAAAAACGTGCAGCATCGTCGCATTGCTGTTTATTTTCCTCCTTCGTTTCCTTGCTACTCTTCGAGAAGAGGGGGGCGCGCGCGAGCGGGACGTTTAACGGATAAACTCCTGCACCACCCGCGCGACCCAGGTGCCAGCGCAAGCTTCAGCGTGCCCCCCTGTCCCGCATTCAGTGTTGGTTGGCATCGCCAGCGGGGCGCAGAATGTCGGCGCAGATCGACACTTCGCGGCGCAGCCCGCCAGCTCCCGGATAGCTCTGAGAGCTAAGCGGATTTCAGACTAGAAGCCGGCACCGCAGGGTAGCCCCAGAGTTCGTTCCGGCTTCCGGCAGGAATCCCCGGCGGGGCTTGCTTGCTGAAAGTGCAGCGTGTCCCGAGAGGCTTTCTCGAAGCGTTTTCCAGTACATCCGCCCGGAAGCTCTCCAGAAACTCCTTCGGGAGCTCATCCCAAGAGCTTCCATGAGCCTCTTCGGGAGGCCTTTGCACGCCCTTCTCGTGCCCTTTATCCGTAGTTCTGAAGTCCACAAATATTCAAGCGGGTGTGCGGGGGGCGTTCCCAACAATCAGCACCACAGGAGCTCGGAATCTGCCCATCCACTGGAGCGCACCGGCTGGCCGCGGGAGAGGGCCCTCCCCCCGGAGGGGCCCCGAGCCGCTCCTGGACTGCCGCCGCGGGCCAAGAAGGCGCACCAAAGGTGGACGCTCCTGCACCCCGCGTGGACTGCCCCCCCCCTCCGTGAGCGAACAGCCCCCCTCTCCCCCCCGCCGTCGCCCTCGCACCCGTGGCGGCGTCGGCGCCCTCTGCCTGCTGTGTGGGGTCGGCACGACGTGGAACAGAGGGAGGAAGGGAGGAGGAGGAGGAGGAGGAGGAGGAGGAGGAGCCGAAAGGAGCAGCACGAGGGGCAGGAGAGGGGGCGGTGCCTCGTGCCTCCTCGTGCCCCTTCGTGCAGGGGCGGTGCCTCTACACCCTCCTCGCACCTCGGACATCTCGGCCCTCCTCGATGTCGGGCCTCCAGCCTCTTTACCCCCCCCGGTGCCTCGATCCCCCGGAGCGCACCGCGGAGCCAGGCGCGGCGAGTGGCTCGGCCCGAGGCTGCCGCCGCAGTGGCAGCGCCTGAAGGCGCCGCCCCTGGGGGGCGGAGGCGGAGGCGGAGGCGGGGCTCCCCGCGCCTCCGGCGCGCGAGGCCTGCGGGCTTCCAGCTGGGCGTCGGGTGGCCACGGCCGGCCGTGGCCCGAAGCGCAGTACCGCTCCACCGAGCCCCACCCCTGCCCGGCCAAGGTGCCTCGACCCCACCATCCCACCATGCCAGTGGGGGCTGGGGGTGCAGTGGGGGCCCATGCCAAGGAAGCACCCTGCTTGCCTCCAGGGTGCCCTCGGTTTCTTGGGTTTCGATGGCTTTGCCGTGGAGAGCGTGACGCTCCCACGTCAAAAATCGACGGACGTCCTGGGGTCTCAGGGTTGGGTTTCTTGCGGAAGGCTTCTTATGAACTGGCCCCCACTGTATCGTTCAACCGATCCCCATCCCTGCCCGGCCAAGGCACCTCAGCCCCACCATCCCACCACCCCAGTTGGGGTTGGGGATAGCCCCCTCGAAGCCCGAAGGGAGCAGCCTACATCCTCGTCGCGAGGTTAAAGCGGCCAGTGGGGCCCAGGCAACGCCGGTGCGGCGAGGGATCGGTGACACAATGCTCAGAAGCACGTTCCAGAATGGCGTCCTAGAGAGATCAGGGGATCGTTGGTCAGCGCAAGCGGCGCCTGGCACGTGTAAAGCCTGTTGGCTTCCTTCTGGGCTTTGGAGGGGGGACGCGTGGCCACGGCTGGACACGGCCCGAACATTTGCCAGGATGGTGTCCCAGAGCGGTTGTTGTTTTGTTTGTCTCGTTTCCGCCTTCTTCTTCTGCATATTTGTGTTCCCCTTATTCGTTTTCCTTTTACGGTTAAATATGTTCGTGCCCTTATTGTTAGCAGGATTATGCGTGTTAGTATTAGTATTATTCATATTGATTGTATTGTTGCTACTGCCGTTTTGCCTTTCCAGCTTTAAGTTTCAATGCCCGCGTGGAAGCCCTCAGGTCAGGCCCATAACCTTCTTCAGCCTGAGTCAGACCGGAAAGAGCTGACCCAAGAGCATGGAATTATAATATAATATTGACCAAAGCAGGGAAAGAAATTGGTCCGGGGCGTGCGGGGGAAAAAACCAGAGACAAAACAAATAACAACAAAAAACAACAAAAAACGACCAAGACTACGAAAGCAAAGCCGTCAACCGTGGACTTACCCCTGTCTGACCCCCCCCAGTTTCCCCCCTCCCTTAGTGCGCAAAGCTGGCTCGCGGGCCGGGCGGCGCAGTCCGCGCCTGCATCCAGCTTTGCACAATTGGGGGGGGGAGGGGCGGCGCGCCGCGCGCTGGCTTCGCGCTCGTCTCTGCGCGTCCCGAGGTGGTGTGGTCAGAGCGAAAGAGCAAGCAGCCCGCGCGGACTTTCCGGGCGCGTCTTCGGGCGTAGTCGCTCGCGTAGGTGGTCCTTCTATTCGCGCGCACCGAATTTAGATAGTGGAATGTAACGGCCGCGTGGACATTAGACGCTGCCGCTGTACGTCGGCGCGCGCGTGTTCCAGCGCGACGAGGCACGGGGGCGCCCTCGCTATGTCGCGAAAACAAGCGGAACGCAGTGCCCTGCCAGCCGCCGCCGCCAGCACGGGAACGCCCCCGGGCGTCGCTGTCGCAACGGTCCCTTAGAGACTGTGTAGGAGCCGCTAGAAACCGGTTAGACACCGGTCTAGCAACCGATATGATTTACATCGAAACCGGTCGAATCCATTTACACATGATTTTAAATTCTTGAAATATTTGAAGGTGCCTACTTTTTTTAAGCGGTCTCTACACGTATTCTAGGATCCAGGAAAGCAGCGCGCACGTCGCGCGGCGTGATTTCAGGGCGACGTCCAAGTAGTCGCGCCGAGTCTGGCAGCGCGGCGTTGTCTCGAGTGCGCGACAAGGAAAGCGGCGGACATGCCGCGCGGCGTTGTTCGGGGAAGGACAATCTTCATCGAATGATTCCATTGAAACCTTTTAAGTTGAATGGGAAACATCATCATCACCTGTGCTATTATAACACTACTACTATTACTACTACTACTACTACTACTACTACTACTACTACTACTACTACTACTACTATTACTACTACTACTACTACTACTACTACTACTACTACTACTACTACTACTACTACTACTACTACTACTACTACTACTACTACTACTACTACTACTAACTACTAACTACTAACTACTAACTACTAACTACTAACTACTAACTACTAACTACTAACTACTAACTAACTACTACTACTAGCTACTAGCTACTACCTACTACTAGCACTACCACTACAACTAACACTACTACTACCACTACTACTAGTACTACTATTACTACTACTACTACTGCTACTACTAATACTACTACTACTACTACTACTACTACTACTACTACCACTACTACTACTACTACTACTACTACTACTACTACTACTACTACTACTACTACGACTACTATTACTACTACGACTACTACTACTACTACTACTACTACTACTATTAACTACTACTACTACTACTACTACTAACTACTACTACTACTACTACTCCTACTACTACGACTACTACGACAACTACGACGACTGCTCCTAATACGACTGCTACCACTACTAATACTGCAACTGCTGTTGCTGCTACTACTGCTACTACTGCGACTACTACTAGTACTACTGCTCCCACTACGACTACTACTACTACTACTACAACTACTACTACTACTACTACTACTACTACTACTACTACTACTATTACTACTACTACTAAAACTACTAAACTACTACTACTACTACTACTACTACTACTACTACTACTACTAAATACTACTACACCAACAACTACTACTACTACTACTACTACGACTACTAACACGACTACTACTACTACTACGACTACTACTACTACTACTACTCCTACTACGACTACGACTACGACTACTACTACTACTACTACTACTACTACTACTACGGCTACGGCTACTATATACTACTGACTACCACTACTACTACTCCTACTACTATACTTAATAATACTACTACCACTACACTCACCTACTACTACTACTACTTACTATACTACTACTGTATTACGATGACTTCTACTATCACGATACTACTACGACTATACCACTACTGTTACGGATTGCTACCACTTCTACAAATTTCGACCACGACTTACTGCTACGAGCGTACTACTACTAACGATCTTACTGCGACAATGAACGGCTTACGACTACCACTACGACTACGACAAGACAGGAACCGACGAGGGGGTCATCACAATACGAAACTACTCTTCCACTTCCCCGACACTAATTAATTTTCTAAACCTAAAAACCATTTTGCTACACTATCCAACCCCACAAAATCCATAAGTAAACTACTACTACTACTACTACTGCTACTGCTACTACTGCGAATCACTACTACTACTACTACTACTACTACTACTACTACTACTACTACTAGGGCTAGTACTACTACCACCACCACTACTACTACTACTACAAATACTACCGCTACAACAACGACTACTAGTCCTACTACTACTACGACAAAGACTACAACTACCACTACTAAGACTACACCTGCCACTACAACTACTACCACCACCACCACCACCACCACCACTACCACCACCACCACTACTACTACTACTACGACTACTACTACTACTACTGCTGCTGCTGCTGTTGCTGCTGCTGCTGCTTCTGATGCTGCTGCTGCTTCTGCTACTACTACTACTACTACTACTGCTACTACTACTATTACTACTACTACTACGACTACGACTACGACTACGACTACGACGACTACTACTACTACTACTACTACTACCACTACTACTACTACTACTACTAACCCTACGCCGACGACGACTACTACTACTACTACTACTACTACTAATACCACGACTTCTACGACCATTACCAGTACTACAACGACTACGACTACTACTGCTACTACTACTACTACTTCTACTACGACCTGCGCCCTGCGTCCTGCGAGCTGCGGCCGAGTACCTACCAAGTAGTACTACTACGACGAAGACGAGTACTACTTCTACTGCAACCACTAGTACTGCTGCTACTACTACTACTACTACTACTACTATTACTACTGCTACGTCGGCGTCCCCTTTGAAAATTACTTTTTCGACTACTACTACTACTACTACTACTACTACTACAACCCCTACTACTACTACTACTACTACTGCTACTACGACTACTACTACTACTACTACCACTACTACTACTACTACTACTACTACTACTACTACTGCTACTACTACTGCTACTACTACTTCTACTACTACTACTTCTTCTA